ATACACCTGTCGTTGTCAGGCCCTCCATCCTGCATCACTGACAAGGGAGAACCACGCCGGAAAATCTGGATGAACTTTCTCGGCCAATGCAGGGAAGAGACAAAATATCTGACTTATAAAGATGTTATTGTGACATAATGTAACAAGACTAACATTATTAATGTCTATTGCTGATTAGTTTTGATGGATGTCTACTGTAATACTAATTATATTTTTCCTTGATATTAATCATGTATATATCTAGACTGAATGAAATTGTGCTGTTTTAAAGAAGCTAAACCTCTAACTCTATATTTAACGTAATATTTTCCCCAGTGATGCAGGACGTTGTTCATGTGGGATGAAAAACCAAGGTCCCATACAAACATTAGCGTGCACATAAAAAATCCCTTGGCACTTTGATATCAGAGTAGGCCATAGTGCCGCTGCCCGGGCAAAATTACCCACATAATATTTGAAATTAAAAACACGAATTATAATTCAGTATTAGTCCATATCAATTAATATTGATGTTGTTGTCTTGCTTTGAAAATATGGGATTCTAATATCCAATATTTAAGACATATTGAAGATTTTATGAATCCTGTATTCTATGGGTTTGGGTGCAATTTGTAATGATCAAAGAAACACATATCTTACAAGACAAAGCAGAAATAAGAAGTTCTAGCTGATTCAAAAATGACAAAATAAAAATAATAAACAACTGTTGTCAATTTGGTCTGCTTATATACACATGTATTTTACCAAATATTATTGATTAGAAATTACAATAGTTTATTTAAAAATCACATATAAATCACTTTTTATACATTCATATTACATTAATATGTGCTTTTAGCCCCATAGAGTCAAACATTCTTTAACAGAAACCAGAGCATCGTAAATCTTGCAAAATTTATTAACTAGGGCAGTAAGGTTTTTAAACTGCAATATATTCATTATTCTGTCGCAAACGGCAAATTTTTCTTCATCTACTTTTAAATTGTAAAGTCTTTTACTAAAAAATTATTCTGCTAGGAAGAATATGAGATTATAATAAGGAAATTGGATTATGAATTCTCAAGTTTCTCCATTAGGCAATTGTTTTAAAAAAATCTCTTTTAAAAAAAAACAGGCTAATACAAATTTATTTTCAGCATGAAAGGAAAATACTTTAAACTGTTGCTTTCTGTAACAGTAAAATCAATATCATGAAGTCAATAATTAAACCATAAATGCATGTACATGTAGGTGTTTTTAGATAAAATAATGGGTTTAACAAAATAAATTGCTCTTTGAAAAATGTTAACCTTTAAAGAAAGTGTCATTGTGTTGAGATTACTTGTAAAAGGTAAATTCACATACTTGTGTTATATTGGAACAATGCTTTTTCTAAACACATGAAGCAAGTAGTACTTGAGTTACAGTACCAGTAAATGTTCAGATCTTAATGACTTCAAACAGTTCATGTACATGTTTATTGAAGAATACCTTTTGGTTTAAAAAATGCCCCACAACATTTCATCTCTTTATTACTAATAATAATACATGAAGTGTACATTGTCTCCATTATTATGTAATGAGTTACAGTACCAGTAAATGTTCAGATCTTGATGACTTCAAACAGTTCATGTACATGTTTCTTGAAGAATACCTTTTGATTTAAAAAATGCCCCGACAACATTTCGTCTCTTTATTACTAATAATAGTACATGAAGTGTACATTGTCTCCATTATTATGTAAGACAATTAGGGTAATTAGTTAGATTTTAATACATTATTCAAGCTATTGATCAAGAACTATTCAAGTTTAATTTCAATCAAAATCATTAATTCAATGAGATAAATCAAATTGACTCATCACTAAATTACCAATTAGAGAAACTCCATTTGATGTTTATCCTGGAGGTTATGCTCCTATCATCTCCACATCCTGTTGTCTACAACTCCGGGTAAGGTTGACGACTTTACGAGGAAACAGCCTATCAGCTCGGAGACAGAATGAAAGCTAAACGTTCCGGTCACTTGTAGATCAATAAAAAGTGGTATGTTAGAACAATAGAAGCGGTAATGTTGTATTCTAGTATTGTCTGGATTGGGATTGTTTTTCTTAACAATGCCAGTGAATTGCAAATACTAGTATTAATATTCTTAATGAAGACATAATCTTGATTTTATGTCGTGTCATGTCAGTGCCTTTTGAGTTATTTTCATTGAAACAGTTTGTGGTCTGATGTATTTAATCCTCTTTTCGTAATTGTCATCAATTTCTATGGAAAAACATTCCAACATTGGACTCTCCGCTGTCATTGTACAAATCTTGATTGTTTGTGAATAGTGGTCAGTAGAAACTTGTTTAGATTAACTCTGATTAACCTTTACATTAATGTGGCAATATTGTTATTAATATCCTTGAATGACAATTAGAAGTAGAGGTATAATATTCATAATAACACAACTTTATGGGTCTACTACTTCTTGGTTTATTACATCTCTATCTCTCTCTCTCTGTCTATATATATATATCTCTCACCTATTGAATCTTACAAACCTCCATGTTTCTAAAATGTGTTGGAAAAAACTAATTCTTAAATTAGTTTGCAACCAAAATAACATCTGTTTGCAGTAAGGGATGTTACCTAAAGATTTTAGACTTTAAAATTATTATACCTCTTCAACAATAAAAATGAAATGGGGTTTAAGGTCCTACTGTTATGCTCTAATTGGGCTAATGAGGATGGGCATACAATGTGCTATGAGGGAAATTTTGTCTGAACAGCGGTACTCCAATTAATATGATTAGTAACAACAAATCATACTGCCTTGCATAGACTCATTGCTACTTACAATGAATTTGCCTCTTGTTTTTATCATGATAGCTGGACACAAAACTATCATATGGAACACAATTACTGGGTACTATTAATTAAAGCAATGTTTTGTTGCTGGGTCTCTCAACATAATCAAGCAAATTATAATTGATATAATATACATATAAGAGTTAAGAGATCAAATTTACTCTTCTTTTGGGATAAAATGTTTGGTCTCTTGGCATTCAAATTAATGATATTTATTTTACTTTGTGAAAAATATATATTTCACACCCACTAGACTAAAAAATGATATTTTTATACCAGTCTTAATTGCCTTAAGGATTTTGTCTATAATTCATCATTTAAGGTCTGAAGATTTCTGATTCTCTACATTATTAAAGTAGTTCCTGATGTATTAATTTTGTAGAACATGAAATGAAAACCACATCTTTGGTCTAGTGCAGAGATTACTAAATAAATACAAAAGAATCTATTCAAATCGTCTTAAAAAAAACTCTTTCCTAGATAGTCTGTCTGTCTAATGGCTGTCTAGGAGTCGAAAAACTCCCAATACCCAAATTAATTTATAAATCCATTGGGATATGTTGTAAGACAAATTTATTACCAATTGCTGACAGTTTCCAACCTTCTAAATCACCCAATGGTTGCATTAATTGCTCCACGATGGTTTATTTAATTGTAAGTACATGTAGTCTAAGCCGAAAAGACTTTACAATGTATAAAACTCAATTTTCTCTGGGCCTCCATAAAGTGTGATGTACCAGGTCCAGATCCGGCCTAACAAATATCTTACCTTCTATTTTGTGTCTCTGCCCAGGCTGTTTTCAGCACAGTTGTTTCTGGAACTCGACAGATGAAATGAAATGGGGTTTAACATCCTACTATACTGCTATAGTTAATGAAGATGGGCAGGAGCTCGACAAAGAAAAGTTAATTTAAACTGGTTTTAGTTTGAGAGTGTTTAAAGTGTTTAAGATCATTATTTAATGTATGCGCATTATGTACTGAAAATAACTGGGCCCATGAGGGTTCTACCAATTTACACCATTGCATACTTACCTGTTTCCTATTAATAAATGTAGAAGAATCACACCACACATGGAAATCACACGACAGTCGTATGGAAACCTGGAAGACAAACATGTGGACAAGACACCTCACAGACACACACTATGTTGATGTTATAAGTAATAAATAATAAAAGTGCTATCAAATCAAATGAATGGATCTGTGTTTCAGATGCAAGCATCCCCTGTGTGTTTCACAACCCTGAGTCTGTAGTGGTAATAATGATAATAAGTCCATTTATATTGCGCTAATTCCACATATAGCCATGCTCATAGCACAACATAAAACACTCTCTCGCAGATATTTCTCAAATAAGTATGTGAATAGAATTGTAGTGCGTCTGACAAGTAGCACACAGTTAAAGCTCTCTGATTCTTCTCAAGTTTTCATGGTGCAGACTTCACTTTAAATAAAAACTAACTTACAACCAGCAAGCACACCACCCCACCCCCGTAAAAAAAACAACCCAACCCAAACAACCATAATTAAAGGGAATATTTCTCAATCGATGTATTGTTCTTTTGTGTACAAGAAGGTTCATTTCCATTTCTATACTATCTACAATACATAAAGCAGTCATTGTTTTTTAAGGCGAGCCATCGCTCTCAAGCGCCTGCCACTCACCTGAATGTCGACCGAGGGGAGTTTTTTTTTTCCCTCCCCTTAAAATTGAAAATCGCTCTCCTTTACAAAGTCATTGGGGGTTTATTATCATTTATGAAACCAGGAATGACACCCTAACATGCAGTCATTAATTTTCAGAACCATTTCCCATATACACAACTAATCACTCTCCTTGATATCAGATCACTTTTCTTATTAAAACTGGGAGAGCTTTTTTAGGGGAGCGATTTTTTCTATTTGTTGATTAAGGAGAGCTTTTTTCGGCTCTCCTCTAATATTCAAATAACAACGACTGATGTAGGCTACTTATATCAATAACCTTTGATGGTTTGACAATTCTTGAATTTCTGAGCTAATTCATGGTGGTGTGACGTTAAATTCTATTTCATTTCACAGGTTGTCCAATAAAGTCTCATTGTCTTCACTTCTTGCACCAAGATTGAAGTAAACCGAATAAATCACACTTTTACATGTTTTATTTCTTTTATTTTTCAGAACTAATTCCGAGGGTCCTTCAGGGCGGGGTTTTAAATTTATTATAACTGCTTTTAGTGAAGGTAAGTTTCGTATCATTTTTATTTAATATCATTTAAACTATAGCTACCACTTGTACGTTTGAGACATGATTCAGTAAGGACCTATAGTACGGGTAATGAAGTTTTGTCAAAATGGCGGGGTTGGCTGGCCGAATGGTTAGCACATGCACGTTGTATCATAAGGTCAGTCATTGAGTCAACTGGCATTGTTTTGATTCCCTGGTTGTACGTGACATGGAGTAGGTTTGCCTGTCAAACCTTGTGGGTTTTCTCCGGGTTCTCTGGTTTCCTCCCACTGCTAAAGATTCCTACACGCAAGGGAATTATTGAAATAAAATTGAACCTTGTATTAGTCCCAAAATGGCCTAGTTTTATGACCAGTTGCCGTTAAACCCCATTTCTCTCTCTTTCCCTCTTGTCAGAATGGCGAAATTTTGTATTAGCTCCATCGGCCCAGAAAAGTAGGATGTTAAACCCCATTTCATTTCATTTCGTATACCGGCAATTATAAGTGAGCCAGTACGATACTTGCGGAGACTCTGTGACTCCCGACTTCATAGTATAGATTTGTGTCACGGCACAAGACATTTAGGTTTAATTCTGAAAACTTAACAGATTAAGATTTGTTATGAGCTATAAGCAGCTTACAAAAATATCATATTTGAACCTGATCACCTGCAGGTTTTCAGGAAGAATATCTGATCACCTGCTGCAGGATCTGGTAATGTATCTGGTGACCTTGAAATATATGACACATACTGACCACTCATAATCTGATTGGCTTAAAATCTCTGATTATTTTGATAGTCAAACTGTGTTTAGAATCAACTCAGGAGGGTTGCTATGGTAATTATCATGTACCATTTCTTTTAAAGTTTACCATTGTGAAAGGGAAAAAAATATCTTGGATATATTCATTTTGCTCCAGGATATGGATTAACATTGCTAAAAAATTTATAGAACAATTTCCGATCAGAAAGATAATGATAGGACTTTCTATTTGTAGCATTAACAGATTTTTTTTGTAATAAAATTAATAATGGAATCGCAGGTAATGATGGAATTAATAATGCCGGGATTAGTATTTGTATGCTTCATATTTAAGAATAGAAAATAATGACAATCCTTAATATAAAAGCTTTTATGGTTACTTAGTATCTCTGTGTACTAATGTATTTATAAGAACCATCTATACATTCTAATAATCGTTCCAAGTGGTGAGAGATGAAGATGGAGAAAGGGGGAGAGAAATGGGGGTTTAACAATCACAAAGCAGGCCCCAAGTCCACAAAGCATTCTCAGACTTAAGAATTTACTCAAAATTGTTTGCCTTATTTTAACAAAAATATAGCCCTTTATCAAACTTTGGTTGTTTTAATGTATCAAATACATCAGTAAGTTTTGTGTTTCTGGATCAAAGATATTTCTCATAAACAGTGATTGAAAGTTAAGTAAATTCTGAACTTATAGTCCGATCGTTAATGTAAATCCGTCGGCTTTTCGGGTAGAAATCGTGGAATAAGCTTTATTTTGTAGGTTTTGATGTTTGATTACAAAAAACCAATGTTGACATTTTTTTTGAGTAGGTCTTCACAGTATGGGAGGCCATTATTTGAGGGTAGCCATTTTGCGATAATATTCCAAATTATTTTTTATTTTCACCTTATTTATAATGTTATCGACATATCAACTGTGATTTGGCAATGTATTAATATTGGCGGCATTCATGACTATATCTCAGATAGTTTTCCATCATTTCATGATGATATTTCCAAGATGGCGCCCATTTTTAGCGGGAAAGTCGGTCGATGTGCTGATTTCGATTAAGTAGTAGTGTTTGGTGTCAATATATATGTTTTCGGCATCACAAATTCCTTTCCTGACATTTACAACCTTGTAAAATGATCACATGTTCATATACTTAGCATATTACCAAGATGGCGGGCATTTTTGGCGGGAAAATGAGACGATGTGCAGATTTTGATTAAGTGGTAGTGTTTGGTGTCAATATATATGTTTACGGGGGCGCAGAATCAACTTCCGACATTTACAACCTTGTAAAATGATCACATGTTCACAAATTTAGTATATTTTCAATATTGCTGCCACTTGTGGCGGAAAAATCGGACGATGGGTTGATTTCGATTAAGTAGTTGTCGTTGGTGACAATATATATGTTTTCGGGGAGGCAGATTTGATTTCTGTCATATACAACTACGTAAAATGGTCGTATGTTCACCAATTTATCATATTTCCAAGATGGTGGAACGTTTTCTAAACACATTATTAGCATTTATTTATCATCGATTTTCCTGGGAAAGTAAAGCCTATTCCTGGCATGAAGGCAAAAAGAGCATAGCGACAGCGTGGTGCTTACGCCACGTGCCCATCATGCACCTGCAACGACCACACCAAGCGCTTACTACAAGACCTATCTACGCTCATTGCCAAGATCTGGCTGCGCGAAATGTGTTCCCACCATGATCTCACGGTTACCAGTCAGACCGGGATACTTTCTCACCACACTCCAGTGACATGCCTACCAGGTGTAAGACGTTCTCTCGTCATGTCTATAGAGACTGTGCCATGCTCACCCGTCCTCATTCACTTTCAAAGCAGAAAACAACCAATAGTCAAGCAATCAAGAACATTTCATAGTTTTCTTGAGGTTTCCTTTTTGGGTGCTAGACTGGAGCTGATGGACGAGGCTCAGTATGTTCCCTATATATACATAAAGGTCGTAACAGCGTAGCAAGCATATGGCCAGGAGCTCCGTTCCAGCCTGGCAGCAACGCGTATGATAGTGGTGGGGACGTGGCTGTAAATGAAATACTTGCAAAGAAGCCCTCATAGCATAGATTATGTTATCAACTGACTTCCAAGATGAATGTAATACGAACACGTGGAATGATATTGCGCTGGAGTTAAACTACTACATTGTTGGATAATATACCTAATGGATAAACTCGGCACAGGCTTCCAGGAACATGCTACAGGCTTATACATAGCAGAATTGGATTCAGAAACCTTTACAGTAATGTGTTTAGAAAACGTCCTGCCACAAACAAAAATATCCTGAATGTGTAAACATACCACCATTTCCCGCACTTGTAAATGGCAGATATCGCATCTGCACCCCCGAAAAACAAATATTGACACAAAAACGCGACTACGTAATCAAAATCAGCACATCGTCCCATTTTCCCGCCCGAAAGGAAAGCCATATTGAAAATATGCTAAATATGTGAACATGTGATAATTTTACACAGTTGTAAACGGCAAAAATGGAATATGCTCCCCAAAAAATATATCCTGGTACCATAGACGACTACTTATTCAATATCCGCACATCGTTCCATCTTCCCGCCAAAAATGGCCGTCATATTGTAAATGTGCAAAATAATCATTTTACACAGTTGTTACTGACCGAAATGGATTCTGTGCCCTTGAAAACATATATATTGACACCAACGACGACTACTTAATCAATATCAACACATCGTCCTATTTTCCCGCCAAAAAATGACCGCCATCTTGGAAATATGCTAAGTATATGAACATGTGATCATTTTACAAGGTTGTAAATGTCAGAAATGGAATATGTGGCCCCGAAAACATATATTTTGACACCAAGCACTACTACTTAATCGAAATCAGCACATCGTCCGATTTTCCCGCCAAAAATGGTCGCCATCTTGGAAATATCATACTGAAAAGATCGAAAACAATCTGAAGTATAGTCATGAACCCTGCCAATATTAATACATTGCCAAATCACAGTTGATATGTCGATAACATTATAAATAAGGTGAAAATAATAAAATAAGTTGGAATATTATCGCAAAATGGCTACCTTCAAATAATGGCGTCCCATACTACGAAGACCTACTCAGAAAAAATGTCAACATTGGTTTTTTGTAATCAAACATCAAAACCTACAAAATAAAGCTTATTCCATGATTTCTACCCGAAAAGCCGACGGATAGGAATTATGTAACAAACCGAATCCGACTATTAAATCAGAGAATGCTTTGTGAACTTGTGGCCCGGTCATATAGGACTAACATATAATGTACCTTTATTTCAACAATTTGATTGGGTGTAGGGATCTTTAGGCATGGAGAAAAACCGAGGAGGTAAGGAAGGTGATATAATTTCTTGTCACGTACAAGTCTGCAACCGAAACATCAAAACTCTTAACAAACTTTATAAAGTGCATATTTCAGACCACTCAAAGGGTTGAATTTTTAAAAAAAAATTACTGCTGAACTATCATTTGGAGCATTATGTGATCTACGTACACTGCGAAGGTTAAGAAACTTTATTGTGGTAAAAGTTTCACATTAAACATACATTATGCAAGAGCTAAATCTGTCTATTGCAGGTCTTTCTTTAGGCCTGAAATGTTATCTAAATTATTGTCCCCCGCCTTTCGAAGAAAGCAGGGGACTATTAAAATGGGTTCGTCCGTCTGTCTGTCTGTCTGTCTGTCTGTCTGTCCGTCTGTCTGTCCTTCTGTCTGTCCGTCTGTCTGTCCGTCACACTTTTTGGGACACAATAACTCTCTTCCTAATTGAGCTAGAATGTTCAAACTTGGTGTATGTGTTTATTAGGTCAATGCCTTGATGGAGTTCGAAGATGAGCATTTTCCGCTTAGGGTAAGCAGAGATAAGCAATTTGATTGGTTGATGCTTTGGGACACGATAACTCTCTTCCTAATTGGGCTAGAATGTTCAAACTTGGTGTATGTGTTGATTAGGTCAATGCCTTGATGGAGTTCGAAGATGAGCATTTTCCGCTTAGGGTAAGCAGAGATAAGCAATTTGATTGGTTGATGCTTTGGGACACGATAACTTTTAATTGAGCTAGAATGTTCAAACTTGGTGTATGTGTTTATTAGGTCAATGCCTTGATGGAGTTCGAAGATGAGCATTTTCCGCTTAGGGTAAGCAGAGATAAGCAATTTGATTGGTTGATACTTTGGGGCACGATAACTCTCTTCCTAATTGAGCTAGAATGTT